CGCAAAAGCCATGCCCTTGCAGGGGCACGACACGGGCTTCTGCAGGGAACCCTGCGCACAAGCGAGCCAGCTAAGAGTCCACCACGGGTCAGGCTTTATTTTGCTTAGTACCAATACCTCGCCCTCCGGTACCGCCAGCAAAAGTTGTGTTCATCACCTTCCTCCTCACTACCTGCAAACTCTTGTTGCTCTTGGCCAGCACAAGCATCATGCACCCGACTGGACCGAACGCTAATCCAGCCCAGTTAGCGCATCATTTGTCAAATAGGTCAATTCCCATCCAGAACAGGGAGCCAGCTCACAAAGGCAGGAGGCGGTGGGTACGCCCGACACCTGGGGCATTCTGCCTGGTCTTCCTGTTCAGCACCATTCCCAGCATTTACTGTCCTCAAGTTTCTGCAACACATTCACCGCTATGAAAGATGAAAAATAAACATCCCCCAGCTTTATAGCAGTTACTGACCAAAGGACGCATTCGTACAAAAGTGACATTTGCAGGGCTGCCTTACTGAGCACTATGCATGCCTTCATTAATGTACTAAGGATAACCAGTATTACTGTATTTAGCAGTGGGTTTCAGGTAAGTTTTTCTCTGTGACTGCTCTTTTTTCTTAAGGGACCACTCCAGTGTTCCCTGTACACAAAGAGCGAACTACACAAGTTGTGAATTTAGTATTTCAAAACCCCAGCCGCTGTAATTTTTTAAGGGTTAGAATAAGGTTTATTTTTAGCAAAGCTATTGAGAAGGCTGCACTGATAGCATTGCAGCTTTAATTTCTAGCTATCGCTAACAATCAAATAAAAGCCTGAGTTAGTTTAAAAACACCATGCTCTCAGCAGCAAAAATATAATTTAAGATGTTCTTGTTCTATTGCAGTTGCAGAAAAGCTGAGCTACTTTTCTAAGATTTGCACTAAATTCTTTTGTTGCCATACTTTGGGCTAGGTTTCACAACATACCTTATCCCAAGCAAAGCCAATACATGCTGAACAACAGGCGAAAATCCTCTCTTCCTGTAGATAAATTGAAACCGAAATGCTATTAACCCATACTTCAAAGCTCATTTTTCTGGTGCAGTTCAGTACAGAAACTTAGAACTAGAGACAGGCATATTAACAAAAAAGTAAGTCTAGACCTTTGCATAAGTAACTATAAACCTTTTCTGCAAGAGCTGCAAAATGTTACCATGGTGCTACATGATGTAATCACAGTTCAGTCTCCTCCACATCACTGCAACATTTTTAGTCATTCAGCACATTTGTTTCTTACTTATTTTAAACAGACAGATTGCATCTAATACCTGTTCTCTCTTCCAGCCTTTTACTAGCTGATGAGCTGGAAAAATGCATTTCTTCCCTCTTTCCCCTTCCTAATCTTTGGAGTGGTCACAGCTGTGACAAAGAGTTTGTGCAGCATCTCCCCTGCTGCTTCAGAGCTGACTATAACAGCACAAGTCCATAGACGGCCCTGGAATCTGAGGCAACTCAAAGAGATGCACTCTCTCTTACAGCTTAGTCACAAGAATGGTAAAGTAGCAAGCCTGCGAGCTAGAATTTCGGTTTTAATACTGGAAACTAAATCCCTGGTGAAGTTTGGGCACGGGGAGAGACTAAGCTGTGTAGATACCAACATATGCATGAACTGCATGCGCACATTTAGTTTACATTCCAGCCTGAGCACTAAAATGTTTTCTATGCATCTGAACTGCTATGTGGAAGTATCTATTCATCCATTTCAGTAGGAAAGAAATGGCAACTCTGTCCCTTTCACAGGAAGTCTTACATTGCCTTTTTAATTGTTGTGACATTAAAGAGAATTGGTTTTCCCTTGTTCTGTGATATTCTTTGGAATCAATTCATTAGGGGGTTGCTAAAGCTTCAGTTCAAAGCATAAGCACCTTAACATTTTTTTCTCCCGTTAGCGTTCGCAGGCAGACAACAAACCGACCCCCACCAGCTGGAGGAAGGCCTAAACCACAGCCAAAACCTAAGCCTCAGGTACCACAGTGCAGGGCACTGTATGCATATGATGCTCAGGACACAGATGAACTTAGCTTTAATGCCAACGATGTGATCGATATAATTAAAGAAGGTATGTAGAGATCAAAAGTTTTGTTACTTCAGTACTAATCTTGAAGGTACACTGTCATAAGTAGTTAAGATGTGACTTTTTGAGCCACCCCACACTTACCTTCCCTCATCAGGCTTGCAGATTTCTATGATAGCTCAGGGAGCAGAGAAGTCTCCACACCCACACCAGTCAAGCCTGTTCACTTAAAAGCACAGCAGGGACAGATCAATGACATACGCATTACTTGGTACTGCAGATGTGTAAATTTGGTTAAGGGAGTAATTCTATCACAGGCTCTGGCTGAAAATTAGCACAATTAAAGAAGTTAAAGAAAATTAGAATCATAGAATCATAGAATGTTTAGGGTTGGAAGGGACCACTAGTGGTCATCTAGTCCAACCCCCCTGCAGTGAGCAGGGACACTGCTAACTAGATCAGGCTGCTCAGAGCCCCATCCAACCTGGCCTTGAATGTTCCCAGGGATGGGGCCTCCACTACCTCTCTGGGCAACCTGT